ATTCTTGTAGATTCAAATGTAGCATGGTTGTTTGGCAAGATATGGCTTTTTTGGTACGAAAATTGAATCAATGGTCAACCTGTGCTTGAACGATGGCATTCCAAGGTCCTTTATTCCCTCTCTCTTCCCATCAACAACAATTTTGACCGCTCTGACACAACCTCGATTCAAACTACTGAAGGAGAGGGGGGGAGAGAGGGAAAAGGGGAGAGAGAAAGAGAAAAAATATTAAAAAATGATTGGTGGGATCCACTTAAATATTTTATAATAAAAATATTAAAAAATTTAAAATGGGCCCCATTAATAGAGAAAATAAATGGAGAAAATGACAAGGTGATAAATTTACAAATCTTAGCGATTGAGTAATAAAATTGATCTCAAGTTGAGTTTATAGTCATTTTTGACCTTTCATATATACTTCAGTGATAAAATTGACCTTTACCCCATTAAAAAAATATCGGGCTCACAAGCAATATTTTATAATAAAAAAGATTAAAAAATTCATATATGGGACCCACATAACGGTAAGTTATGTCAAGGTAATGGAGCAACAATTTTTTAAAATTCAGGGATATAAATAACTTATAGTTAAGTTTAGAGTCATTTGTGACTCTTCGTGTGCACTTCAGAAATATTTTTTACCTTTAACTTTTAAATATTAAATATGACCACCAATAAAAATTAGTCTAGTTAATAATAATTTAATATATAACTTATAAGATTATGATATCAAATCTCATTGACAATATGAGAGTTTTGCTAGTGGGCGATCTGTAAACGCCTCTATATTCTCATTTACGTTTAATAATATACAAGTATAATGCCTCCGAAACCCAACTTACATCAATTTTATTATATAAAAAAATAAATATTCAAGTAAAATGGTCAATCATCAATACCAGGTATGAAATATACATACATGTATGTATGATTGAGGAGAGTTTAACTGTTTACTTTCTTCAAGATTCTTTTTAAAACCAAAACATATAAGTTTATATTTCTAATCCTAATTATAGTGGATAAGTAAACTTACATAAAATTATATCAACCACGAATCCTAATTGAATTGTCTCTTAAAAATCCTCCTACCTTCACTCTTCAGTATTCCTCATGTAATTTTCTTTCTTTTTCCTTTACATTATCTTTGGTTAGAGGGGAATGAAGCTACGAGGAAGGAGAGAGGTAGAGCTAGTAATATAGGTTGAATTCACGGGCTCAAGCCACCAACCCACCAACAAGTGCCGATCGAGTTGGCAAAAGATGAGCTTATTTAGATGCAAGCTTATTTTGAATCACATTGCACAATCCAAACCTACAGAGGGCTAACCTGTGAATTAGTTGATTAGCTTACATGTTTTTTCATCTTAATACTCTCTGAAAAGCAAACGTCATAGCTGATAAGCTCACACATTAGACATTGAGTATCTGTAGCTTGAAGATTTTCAGTGTTTACTTGATTTCCTCCACATAATATCATGCATGTGCTACAGGCGATCGAGAATGTAATCTTTACTGGGTAGTTTAATAATGTTTCTTCCTATTCTATCAAAAAAGTTATTCTTTTATGATTTAATATTTTATAAAATTACTATTGTAATTTTTATCAAAAAATATAATTCAATTTAAACTGTTAAAATTTGATATGTTAATTAAAACTATGAACTATTATTAAAATAGTTTCATTTTTCCAAATTTTTATTATAGTTTAAAATTATTCAGGTAAAATTTTAACACATCAATTTTATTTATATATTTTATATAAAATTATAATAAAAATATTAAATCAAATAATTGTTGAAAATTTTGATCTAATGATGATAAAAGGAAAAGAAAAAAAATTATTTATGCATTATTTTGTTTAATAATTATAGAAATGTGAAATTATCGCCATCTTTAGTTGCTAGTAGTAATGTTGGAAGAAAAGGTACACGAAGTTCTAATATACCTATGTTATCGCTATCGTCATCATCATCATCATCATTTCAAGTTTTGAATTATAATCTAAACTTGTATTATATTTGTTTGTGATGGAGTATATATTTATTTTTAATTATATTAATGTATTTTTAGAAAGAGTTTATTGTTATTTGAATAATTAGTTTTTAGGGAAAAATATGATTTTTTTACAACAAAAAAAGAGAGGAATAAGTAATTTTAAAATTAAAAAATGTAAAAAAAAATGTTTTTCAAGCAGGTTGGTGAAAATATAACTTGCCATAATATAGGTTATGCTAATCTACCTTATCAAACCCCTAACTAAAGTTAAGAAATGGGTGAGACCTACCCTCAAGGACTTAGACTCTAAAGTCTAATTTTTCAAAATTGCTTTACTTCATGAGGCCTGACCCTTATGTAAATGGCTTAGGGTCGGGCCTGTAAACCCAGTTGCAAAAAATAAAAAATTAATATTATAATTTAGTTAGAATATTTTAAAATTAAACATAAAACAAATCAAGGTAATTACTCTAGTTGGACAAAAAAAAAACTTTGATTAAGCTCGGTGAGAATCAGAGCACCCAACTAAGACAATCAAAGATCTACCACCTAACACCTATGGCAAGATAATAGCTATGAGTGGAAAGCAGATTGTGAGAGGCATTAGGGAGAGCAAATACAATAGATGTGAGAGGCAACATGACAAGCAGACGTGGGAGGGAGAGTTGAGTGACTTTAAGTAAGACAGAGATTAGAGACGAGGCAAGGATCACCAACGACTAATAGGAGAGCAGAGATGCCGAGTGAGGCAAAGATAAGCAACAGCTGATGGGAAAGCAGATGAATGACTATGAAATCTTCAATCTTCAGGTACTGATAATAAGAGTTTTGATCAAACAAAGAAGACTGAGAGAGTGAGAGTCAAGAGATCATAAATTAGAGAAAGTTTAAGCCTTAGAATTTTTCTCTACACACCATTTTTACATAGATTGCAAAAAAATGTAATAAGGTTTAAAGAGCCGCTCAAGTCGTAGCCTATTTTTTAAGGTTTATCAGGACTTGTACTAGAAAGCCCAATTACCTTAAAAAACCCCCTTCCTTAAGCCAAAACTCTTATTTAAATAAAACTTTAAGCTCGACCTTTATTCTCAATTCTATCCTCAACCTATATGAGTTAGCTCATATTACCAGAGGAGAGGGGAGGGGGAAAATCCCTCCCAATCTCCCCCATTTGGAAGAGAGGGGAGGGAAAATTTTAATCGCCCTCCCCTTTAACCAAACAAGGTGTTAGCCTGCTTTTATAAATAAAAAAATAAACTTTTAAAATGGGGCGAAATATGAGTACAGACTTAGAATTTAAATTCTATTGATACAGCTAAAAATAAAAAATACACAGTTATATTATTCTACTCTATTTGAGTCACCCTTATTAACTAATTTAGGCTTTTAAAAAAATTATTTAAAATCTTGACTGTTTAAAACTTGTTGCATTTTACAATCCTACCTTAAATAGAATGAATATTACACTGTTATTGGGATCTAATTCATTTAAACATTTTTCATAAAAAAAATAATTATTACTACTTTCATTTTAAATTATATGATGTTTTTAGATAAAATTACACATATCAATAAAAACTTATTAAATATATTTTACAGCCTTACTTTTTTCTAAAAAAAATACAAACTTTTAAAAATGACATTTATTTAATACTCTATTTGTTAAAGAACACCAAAGAAAAAGAATATATGAAAATGATAATATTGAGAAAATATCATTAATGAAACAATATTTTTGTCAAAGTATCTTATATTTTGAAACATCTAATTTTTAAAAAAAATGTCTTATAATTCGATATAGAGGGAGTATGCTTAATTTATTTAAAAAATTTAATTAATTACGTTAGTGAAATACATATGTATAACTTAGTTAATGTCCTATATTTTTAATCAAATAAAATATTAAAAAAAACGTCATATATTATCATCACGCAGTATTAAGATTTTAGGAGACTGCCTATGAGTTTTGGTCAAGGGGATAAAGGAAAAGGAAACGGGAAAGCCTGAAAGAGGATCCACCCAACCCGGCCCGTAAAAATGTTTGTCAGGCATAGTACAAAACTCCAAGTCTCCAGCCCTACTCACGGGTTCCACTTTCAAGTGCCGTCTCTCTTTATATTAGATCATGTGCCAACTAACACCCCACCAAATCTTTGAAATTTGTTTGACTAATAACATGCCATGATAGCATACTTTAGTACTGTTTCGATTAATTAAGTAAATTTCAACAGTTCATAATTTTTAAAAAATTAGTTAATTTTTATAATTATGTTTCAGATTAAATTTTTTAATTAAAATTAAAATAACCCTATTATTAATATTTCTCTTTGTTCCTACCTAAATGTATATGAAGGACAAATCTGGAAACATTTCTCAATTGCTTGTTGCTTATAAAAAGTCTGCGACACTATGCTTAAACTCTTCTGATAATTAGAGACAGATGGGGTATTCAGTATCATCAAAATTTAATAAATTATTATTGATTTGGTCTATAAAATTCAATCTTTATCAATTACTAGTTTTTTAAAATTATAGAATCATCTGCAACTAGTCTATACTATATCATTTCTCTTCCATACTATAAAATAATAATTGTATCTGATTATTCAATTTTATATATTTAATTGATAAAAATTAAATTATAGAAATCAAATTATTAATTATTAAGATAAATTAAATTCAAAGGAGGAAAAGTTTTGTTATAAAAAATAATCCTTTTTTGTGATTAGAAAGCAACATCCAACAAACCATGCTAAATTTTGCGTTGATCTTGACAGTTGTCACTGAACATTTCCACCAACATTTGCATTCTGGCAGCTCATAAGGGGGCACCACGTGTACCACGTACTCAAAGCGACTCAAAAGTTCAAATCTTCAATTCAAACACCTCCTCGTAGCTCGACGCGCGTGATCGCCCCCTCAATTCGGGGATATTATCGTCTTTTGCGGCGAGTATCTAACCTCCATCATATTCTTGCGATTCCGCTACACATTCCAGATGTGGGCGACATCGATGTAAGAAATCCATTATTATTTCATTGTCCCACGTCTTTTTGCTCATGTACGAGCCACCTTACAGATAAGCACAAAATTGTTGGATCAGGCCAAAAGGTCGAAGGAGATTACGAAATTGCGATTTGTCGGCGTTTGATTCGTCTGTGAGTAAGTTATACATGACAGTCATATCATTTTAGAAGAAACACCACGTTTCTAATTTGGTCTTTTTGGGTTTTAAATTTTCTGAACCTCTCCTGTTTCTGCAACAATCATCACACTTTTCTTCTTGGGAGAAGGGAAGGAGACCAGAAATAATTCAGTTCTGGGGATAAATTAGTTGTGCATTTGGAGCATCTTCGCGTGCTTCGAGCTTAGACTGAGGTTTCGCTCTGCTCTTCTTTCTACGGGTGGTTCTGAAAGTGTGAGGGTCTGAGAAGATGACGAACGACAACGTCATGACGATGGAGGCCACACCAGGGAGCTCAGGGTACTTGGAATTGTATCCTGAGAGGAAAATGTCGTTTTTCAAGAACCCTTACATACTGCTACTCACTGCAGCAGCTGGCATAGGTGGACTCCTCTTTGGCTACGATACAGGTACTCGTGATCTCTCCTTCTTCGTCTAATTCATTGATTATAAGTCGCAACAGGGACGTCTGTAAGTCTGTAACCCTCACCTTTCCTGCTGAAAATATCTTCAAAATTGATGGCATCATTTTCCTGACCATTTATTTATTTTATATTAAAATAAATTATTTTATTAAATATTAATATAATCAGCGATTTTTGTCCTTAAACATGGTTTGAGAAATGAAATTTAATTATATATGTGTGTGCGCGCGCCCGCTCCCTCCAATAGTTATTATTAGATTTTTTTTATTCTTTTAAGCATTTTTAAAAGAAGTTAGTTTTTTTATAAAAATAATATATATTTTTATCTTTATTTTTAAATTTAAATAATGATATAATTATGTTAATATTTACTTAATTAATAAAAGTTAAAATAAAGTAAAATTTAATTATTATAAAATATTTTATATTTTAAATAAAAATTATTTATGAAAAGTGTTATGTAAATAAGATGAAAAGGGGAACATATTCTCCCTGTTTAAAAAAATTATATCAAATAATTTTAAAAAATTAATTAACTATAATAATTATATATAAAAATAAAAAAATTAAATTAAAATATTTTATTATTAATTATTTTTTTATTAATGTAAATTATAAGAAGTAGTTGAAAAAATATATAATAAATATTTATTAAAATATATAATTTTGTTTATATAAAAATGCAAATAAAAAAGTGATTGTTTTTTCTTTAAATAAAAACGAAATTGTATATATTTCTGCTTTCGAAGTGGTTTTCGGAAGCTTATTGCTCCTGCCTAGTGCATCCACTCCTATTTGTTTTGCATCAGCACGAGTCAGGGGGAGCGAGCATCCGATTCCAGCCGGACCACAGTCTGTAACTAGTTCGCTATCCCAACTTAGTTAAATAAATACATTTTGAAGGATAAACCAGAAGCGGAGCCTTCCATGTTGGGCTGAAGTAATCAAGAACGGTAGTTGACGGAAGTTGCATTTGTCACGGTTCTTTTTTCTCAGTATATGAAAAGCTTACGAACAGTGTTGTGTTTTGCATCAACTTCTCTCTTTACCCCAAAAAAAAAAAGTCCTCATGGAGAATCTATTTGTTATATTCTACATCAGTGTCATTTGTAAGAAGGGGATGGCAATAGGAAATCGGGAGGTAGTTAAGGCCGTTGTCATCTGCATCTTCAATGAGTTTCGAACTTTGGTTCCAGTTGGGAGAGATATCCCATAATTTTCACTTGCACTTCGGGTACATTTGCTCCGCGAAGAAGTCATATTCCATTTGCAGAACCGCTCGTTTTGAGTGTAATAATGTGTAAGCTGTTGTCTGTTTCAATAACAGGCGGAGCTGAGATTGATATTCTCCTTTAATACTATACTTTGACATATTTTGAGTGAAGACTAGGAATTTTATATCATCATATGAGCTTGGAAGCTAACACAGGCACGAAGACTGCGTCAAGATAAAACTTATAGTGTTGCATTATGTCTAAATAAGGGTCCGACATGTGTCAGACAAGGACACAGTTTTGAAGCGTCCCTGCTTCGCAGTATATGACTAATGCAATTGATAATTAAGAAATAGTAAAATGCTACTGGTGAGAGTTCTCAAGTTAATAATTTTCTATTGTGTTAAAAACTGAAATTCTTTTAATACTGGATTTTTCTGGGCTTCAACTTTATGCAGCCTCTGTATGTGTGCGCGCGTGTGTGTGTGTTTTTTTTTCCCCTTTCCTTTTCCTAGGTTCCTTGTTTCTTATGGATAGTTTACCTCATTTTGAAATGCTTTTCATCCCAGGTGTTATCTCGGGGGCCCTTCTGTATATTAAAGATGACTTTGAGGATGTTAGAAATAGTAGCTTCCTTCAGGTACAAGATTTTGCAGGTTTCAGAAGTAGCTCATTTGTTGGTCGCTTGGTTGGTTTTACATGTTGTGAGAGCTATTTTAGTTTTCATGCAGAGCCAATATTGGTTATTGGACAAGGGGGAAAAACAGAAGAAAAAGAAGCTATGAGCATACGAGTATATTTTAGTTATAGTTCCTCACTGCAATTACAGCAATCATGTTGGCAAAATTAGTTATGCATCTAATGCCAGTTGCAGCTTATTATTTATTTGTTTGTTTCTTCTTTCCTTTTTTGTTCTCCCTTGTTCTTTGTATTTTTGATGGATCAATAATACATTAAGTTGCCAGGAAACAATTGTTAGCATGGCATTGATTGGTGCAATTGTTGGAGCAGCAGGAGGTGGCTGGATTAATGATGTTTTTGGACGTAAGAAGGCCACTCTTAGTGCTGATTTTGTCTTTGTTGCTGGGGCTATTGTCATGGCTTGTGCACCAAATTCTGGGGTTCTCATAGTGGGGCGCTTTCTTGTTGGCCTTGGTGTGGGTGTAGCTTCTGTCACTGCTCCAGTGTTTATTGCAGAGGCTTCACCATCAGAAATAAGGGGTTCATTAGTGAGCGTGAATGTGTTTATGATAACCGGTGGACAGTTTCTTTCGTACTGCGTAAATCTTGCTTTTACAGAGGTTAGGCTTATCTTACCGTTCACTTTATCTTCCTAATTGTGTTGGCACTGCTTGACACCCATCTTTAGTTTATATATGTTATATGGAAGCACGTATTAAATAGTTCGCAGGAATTTGAGTGGCCGTACATTATGGGGGGCTATATGGTTACTGTTGTTTACTGATTATCTCTTTTGACTTTATCATTTCACTTCATTCTTTTGTAAGAACATTATTTGCTGTTTCCTTTCTTCTTGATTCATGCCTTTAGTAATAGTAACAGTGCCCGTTATGTTTATATATTTGATCAAGTAACCAGGGTTGTGGAGACAAAACTAAAATATTCAACAACTGCTTCATAAACGACAGAAGAGAAGTTTTTCCATACCCTTTTTTGGGCTGCATTTACAATTTCCATTTTAAGAAAACATTTAAAACATTGCACAGCTTAACGTTTTTAGGGCCTTGTCTATGTTTGGTTAAATTCTGTTTTGAGGAGTATAGGAGGTGATTAGGAAGTTAGGCCATGTTTGATAGGATGTCCATTTTTTTAGGCAAACGGAAAGTGAGAGTGAGAGATGCTATAAATTGGAAGGCTAATATTTTTAAGAGAATTGGCATTTAAATGTTTATGCAAAATAATACTCATTTTTAAAAAAAAATTAAAAATGAAAAATTAAAATGTTTTAAATCAAAAAGGGGTAAAATAATAAAAAATGCTCTAGAACCCAAGGCAAAATTGACAATACATTTTTGTTCTATCGTAGGAAACACCTTTTATTGGTCCAAGTGAACAATCTCATGTAACTTAAATAATGTGTACCAAACATCTCAATATAAAGAATTTTCTCTTGAAAAACACCTAGCGGGATAAGGCTTGTTGTTGCTGTTGATGATGGTGGTGTTTTGGATTTTAGGTCATTTTAATGTAAAAATTTTCATGGTTATATTATAATTTTCTGGAATGAAAGGTTTCCAATTTTGCAGTTTGAAGAGAAGCAACAAGATAGAAATTGAGGCAACGTCAGTGAAGGAACTTCTTCTGTTCTTTCCTGCCTAACTTTAATTATGCATAGTTCTTTTAATCTTTCATTGCATTCTTCTGGCTTTCATTTTAAGTCTTTTAGTACATTGCACCTTACCTTATTATTCATTTGAAAGCTTTTATGGCAATTTTCTTTATATATGATCTACCAACCTGAAGATTGAATTATTGGATCATCTCATTGCCTGTGTCCATTGAGTGTCTCTAGAGCAAAGAAAGATATCACGAAGTATCTTCTTAAACATCTTTTCATCACTAGTTTTCAAGAGTTTCTCTAGTTCTGAAATCTTTTTCAGTAAATCCTATGCCAATGACATACGTAATAATTCTCATTTGGCTGCTTGAGTTATCGTCAATAGCAGAAAGTTGGAAAGTATGACTGCTGAGAGGGTTCTTTCATAAGTTAAATTCCCTCATTTTACTGCAACTAGTAAATTACTGGTGACATGTATTATTTGTTGGAAAATCGTAGACCTGGTGTCGGAGTTTTTGCACTGCAGCGTCAATGAAGTAGATCATCTCAAAATAATTGCAAGCGTGTGCAGTGCTGACCTTGTTAAATTTGAATTTCTAAAACTAAAAGGGGGTTTAATGGTGCTCAATGAAAGGTTTGTGAGACGAGAGTAGGAGCCGATTGTTTTTTCAAATCACTCTTTGGTGCAATGGTGAAAAGATTTTTATTGGAGGAGACTTTAATAGGCATGTTGGGAGGGAAGCTGGTCAGTATGCGAGGGTGCATGGTGGTTTTGGTTTTGGAGAGCTAAACAATGAAGGACAAACTCTTCTTGATTTCTCATTGGCGTATGATTTTAAGATTGCCAACACTTGTTTCAAGAAGAGAGATGAGCATCTCATCACTTACAAAAGTGGAGCCTCAAGGTCATAGATTGATTTTCTTTTGGTTAGGAACACAGATAGAAGACTTTGTAAAAATTGTAAGGTGATCCCCGGAGATGCTGTAACGACACAACATAGGGTCCTAGTCCTTGATGTGTGTATTATGAGTAAAATCCAAAAACGTCGACAAGTAGTAACACCAAGGATTAGGTGGTGGCAATTAAAAGGTGAGAAGCAAGATATTTTCAAGCGAAATCTTTTGGATAAAGGAATTTGGGAATCTCAGGGAAGTGCTAACATCATATGGGAGGATATGGCTAAAAAGATACGGGAGGTTGCAAAAGTAGTTTTGGGAGAATCGAAAGGTTCTGGTCCGAGAGATAAGAAGTCTTGGTGGTGGAATAATAGTGTACAGGACAAAATCAAGTATAAAAAGAACTGTTTTAAAGCCATACATTTGTGTAACAATGAGGAAAATTGGGAGAGGTACCGTATGGCTAAGAAGGAAACTAAGAGAGCTGTGGGTGAAGCTCGTTCTAAAGCTTTTGAAGAATTTTATAAGAACCTTGAGACGAAGGAAGGGGAGCAAAATATTTATAAGATTGTCAAGAGTAGGGAAAGAAAATCAAGAGATCTAGAACAGGTAAGGTGTATTAAGGATGAAGAGGGAAGAATTTTAGTTACAGATGATGAAATTAAAAATAGATGGGAAACTTACTTTTCTAAACTTTTCAATGATGAAGAGGATTCATCTAGTAACTTGGAGGATTTAGTAACTGGTGAAGGAGAACAAAATTTGTCATTCTATCGAATAATACGTGATAAGGAGGTAAAGGAAGCTCTTAAGAAAATGGCAAATGGTAGAGCCAACGGACCTGATTGTATATCTATCGAAGCGTGGAAATGTTTAGGTGAAGAAGGGGTGAGATGGTTAACTAAGTTATTTAATGTGATTTTACGGTCCAAGAAAATGCCTGATGAGTGGAGGAGAAGTACATTAATTCCTATTTATAAAAATAAAGGAGATATTCAGAATTGTACTAACTATAGAGGGATTAAACTCATGAGCCACACAATGAAATTGTGGGAGAAAGTAATTGAGCACAGGTTGAGATTGGAGACAAGTATTTCTGAGAATCAATTTGGTTTTATGCCAGGTAGATCAACTATAGAGGCGATTTATCTACTAAGGGGATTAATGGAAAAGTATCGTTGTAAAGATAAAGATCTACACATGGTTTTTATTGATTTGGAAAAAGCTTATGACCGTATACCAAGAGAAGTGCTTTGAAAAGCGTTGGAAAAAAAAGAGAGTACGGATTGCTTATATTAAAGCTATACAAGATATGTATGAGGGGGTAAAAACTAGTATAAAAACACCTAGTGGTCAAACAAAGGATTTTCCTATAAAGATTGGACTACATCAGGGATCATCTCTAAGTCCTTATTTGTTCAACTTGATTTTAAATGTTTTGACGGAATATATTCAAGAGGAAATCCCGAAATGTATGCTCTTCGCAGATGATATAGTTCTTATAGCAGAGACAAGAGAAGAGGTTAATTGTAAATTTGAGTTATGGAGGAGGACATTGGAGTCGAAAGGTTTTCGTCTGAGTAGAAGTAAGACGAAATATTTATATTGTAAATTTGGTAAAGGAATATTCGACAATAATTTGGAAGTGAAATTGGGAGATCAAATTATATCTCAAGTGGAAAAGTTTAGATATTTGGGAGCCATTATTCAAAATGATGGCGAAATCAGTGGAGATATTTCACATAGAATTCAAGTTGGGTGGTTTAATTGGAGAAAAGCTAAAGGAGTTATTTGTGACCGTAAGGTGCCTAATAAACTTAAAGGAAAGTTTTATCGCACTGCTATCAGACCGGCAATGTTATATAGTAGTGAATGCTGGGCTCTAACGAGACAGCAAGAGCATAAAGTTGGAGTAGCAGAGATGAGAACGTTACAATGGATGTGCGGACATACACGTAAAGATAAAATTCGAAATGAGCACGTACGCGAAAAAGTGAGGGTGGCACCTATTGAGGAAAAAATGGTAGAAAATCGGTTGAGATGGTTTGAGCATGTACAAAGAAGACCAAGGGAGGCACCAGTGAGAAAAATGGAACATATAACTTTGAGTCCGATTAAGAGAGGTAGAGGAAGACCTAAGAGAACACTCTTGGAAGTTGTTGAACGCGATCTCTTAATTAATAATATTCCTAAAAGCTTGATAAATGATAAAGCACAATGGCGTCTTGCAATCCATGTAGCCGACCCCACCTAGTGAGATAAAGGCTTGTTGTTGTTGTTGTTGTTGTTGTACTCTTTGGTGCAATGGTATTTTATTACCGTGCTTAAGGTTCTGATGATCCTTCGACTAATCTCCCCCTGAAATCTTAATTGAGCAGGTACCTGGGACGTGGCGATGGATGCTGGGAGTTGCAGGTTTGCCAGCTTTTATCCAGGCTGTTCTCATGATTTTCTTGCCTGAGTCTCCAAGGTGGCTTTTTCTCAAGGTGAAAAGCATTCTCATCTCATATTAGCTGATGAATTACGGTTGAGATTTGTTACCTTCTGTGAATATCTGTTGGGTCGAAAGGAAAATCTTTTCTTTTCCATTGCATGGGGAAAACAAAAAAATTACTCTCTATTATACACTTGTTCTTATTGTTTAATAATAGTAGTCCTTTTTCATAATTATTTTTTATTTAGGAGCACAAAGTACATTTCCAAACAACAAAACTTTTTATTTATTTATTTATTTATATTTTTTTTGGGTTTCCATTTCCATTTACATCCTATTCCACTCTGCCTGCCAAATGGTTTCTTAGTGTCTTTCCTCCTTTTCGATCTTATATTTTTAATCTTTGGCCTTTGGGTGCAGAACAAGAGAGATGAAGCTGTGACCGTGCTCACTAAGATCTATACCTATGAACGCTTAGAAGATGAAGTTGATTACCTGACTAATCTGGCTGAGCAAGAACGTCAGAAACGGAACCAAGTTAAATATGTGGATGTTTTCAAATCAAAGGAAATCAGAGCTGCATTTTTTGTTGGGGGTGGACTTCTGGTATCAGAGACTTCGCTTTACTTCTTTTATTGTGTCTAGACTGAAGTCCACGTGTTTGATTTTGTTTATCATAAATATCCTTGTCCAAATGTTGGGGCTATAGTTGTTGTTTCCGACTCAATGAAAAAAGCAACGCAATTTCATCTGTAGCACCTTTAAGTTTGCCAAGAAATCAAAATTGACACCCATTGCTGAGGTTGATAAGCCAGTAGCCATATTAAACTGGAAAAGAATCTCTTATTTGGACGTTAATAGTGTACTGTATTGAATTATAGAGGCACCTGGTACAACAAATTGACATTAGCATTGCATATAAAGTATCCCAATGAAAGCTGCTATTGATATCGTTCTCACAATCCTTCAAATGAAATGAGCATCCAAGTTATTATAAGCTACAATAAATTTATGCAAGTCATTAATCTTTCTATGGTATCAAATGCGTTCTTTCATAATTGCTTCCATCTATATATGTATTGTCAAGGGATTTGATACTGATATGTTCTTGTGGATATTTCTTGGGATGAAATTCATTAACCCTGAAAAAGTCAATTCCATTACTCTGCAGATGTTTCAACAGCTCACTGGTATTAGTATAATTATGTACTACAGCCCCACAATCATTGAGATGGCTGGGTTTGGTTCCAATCAGCAAGCTCTTCTTTTATCCCTCATTGTTGCTGGAATGAATGCTGCCGGAACAATTCTTGGCATTTATCTTATTGACCATGTAGGACGAAGAAATTTGGCCATCTCATGCTTATCTGGTGTCATTGCATCTCTGGCTGTTCTCTCTACAGGGTGTTACCTTGAATCGTCTGACTCTTCAAATAAATCCTATGGGTATATGGCAGTTGCAGGGTTAGCCCTATATATTCTTTTCTTCTCACCTGGGATGGGGCCTGTACCCTGGACCGTGAACTCTGAAATCTATCCTGAAGAATTCAGAGGAGTATGTGGCGGCATGGCAGCCACTGTGAACTGGATTTGCAGCGTGATAATGTCTGAGAGCTTTCTGTCAATCGTCGATGCCGTGGGGCTTGGTACAAGTTTTGTGATCCTCGGCATTATAGCTGTTATTGCATTAATCTTCGTGATTGTATTTGTGCCCGAGACAAAGGGCTTGACATTTGAAGAAGTGGCATTGATATGGAAGGAGAGGGCTTATGGAAAGAACCAGAACACACAAAGCCTTCTTGTGCAAGAAAACAGGACTTAGGTGTCTGCGTCTGCATGGTTTGATGCTGGTGGTGCCATTGTTATGGTTACAATATGTGGATTTATGTGTTTAGTGAGAGAGATAATTGGAACCGTTGAGACTGGCTTGAGATTTAGTATCACCCACATTCTTTATTGGAAGGAGAGATGGAATTGGCAGGGAGGCAGAGTGATGGATGAAACTTTGGTATTTTTGGCTTTGAGAATGACGTGATCTGACGCCTACCTTGTAATGATTCATTTGCCCCTCTTGCTTGAGATGCGTCTCAAGACTTTGGGTGACGGTCCTACTGTATTATTGTGTACAATAAAGCAGTATGCTATAATTTTTTGTTGCTTTTCAAATATACTGCCTGTTTTCTAGATTATAAGATATTTTTAAAAAAAATCAGGTGTCTTGAAATATAAGACATTTTGACAAAAAATAAAATTTATTTAATAATGTTTTTCTAATTTTATCCTTTTCATTATATTTTTTCTTTTAAATTTTTTTATAAATGAAGTATTAATTGAAATGTATTTTTAAAAATTTATATTTTTATTTTAAAAAAATTAAAGTTATAAAGTATATTTAATGGGTTTTATTAATATGAATGATTTTATTGAAAAGTGTTTTATAATTTAAAATGAGGAAATACTATTATTTTTCTTTTAAAAACAAAAGAGTCAAGTGATTGGTTATAATATTTTCTTGATAGCCTCAGCGATTGTGTTAAAATAAAAACGAGGGATCGATGGGCAAAAGCAATATTTTTTTTATTGGTTAAAATATATTAACGTTCCATCTATTTTACTTGCATTATGTATATTTTTTCATTGAAATTAATAAACACAATATAGTATTGTTTAGAAATTAAAGTTATGTCAAAAACTTGATACAGTTTTGATGTATAATTAGAACTATATTTAGATCAAGTGGTAAAATTTTGACCAATAATTAGAACTAAGAGAAATATTTCTAACAGTTTTTAAAGTTAAATTGAAGGGTAAATTTTAAAAAGAGAGAATAAATATCTATAATTTTAATAAGATATAAGATATTTTGATAAAAATAAAGTTTAATTAATATTTTTTAATAAAATACTCTTCATTATATTCTTATTTTTTAATATTTTTTATAAATGAATTATTAAATTTAATATATTTTTAAAATTTTATATTTTATTTTTAAAAAATAAAATTATAAAATGTATTTAATAAATTTTATTAATATATGTAATCTTGTTAAAGTATATTTTAATTTGGCATATTATTTTTAATTTTTAATTTTTTTTAAGATCTATGAATTTTAAGGCGCGAAAGAGGAAATGCAATAATTTTTCGGAATGTGACAGCAGTGTGCCTAACCGCCTGTGGCATTGGGGGGAGAGGGACTCTCTTTTTTCCTTCACTTCTCCTATCTCCATCCTTTACAGCAATGTGCCTGACCACCTGTTAGGGGTGAGCAAAACCAAACCGAAACCGAAAACCGAATTGAACCAAATTGCGTTTGATCTGTTCGGTTCGGTTTATTCGGTTTAAAACGTTGGTTCGGTTTTTTTAAAAAAATATTTTGGTTTGAATGGTTCAGTTCGGTTTGAAAATTGTGAAACTGAATAAACTGAAGTAACCAAAATTAATTAGATACATTTATAATTATAAATATTATAATTGATTTATATTATTAAAGATTATATTTTTTAAAATACTAATATCATATATTTATTGAAAGAGGGTGGGGAAAAAACATAGCCCAGTTGACAGCCCAGTCCATTATCAGTCTCTGCCACAGACCCACAGTGCCATTCTTTTTTTTTAGCAAAAGCTACAGTGATCAGATTCAGTCTCGGCCCATAATCAGTCTCAGCCCAGTCTGCGTCAGTCATTACTTCTCGGCTTCTCGCTCTCGGCTCTCGCTCGATCGCTCCTAAAGTCCAGAGACTCAGATCAGACATCAGAGAACTTAGGTTTAGCTTCTATCTCCCACTCGGCCACTCCATAGTCCACACAAAGTCACGATTCACGACTCACGAACCTTAACAAATAGAAATCTCTATGAGGCTGTGACTCTGTATCTGAATATCTCTATCTCGCATTCACGATTCAATCATCCTTTGCAGACTCTGTATCTGAGTATCTCTCTCTCGGTCTCGGCTTTGTATCTGAGTATCTGCGAGCGAGACTGTGACTCTGTATTTGAGTATCTCTCTCGGTCTCAGGCTTCATCTCCTTCAACTCCATCATTCTCTCGATCTCGGCTCGGATCAGCGTTAATTTCCCTTTGCCTCAGATCAGCGTTCATCTCCTTTCATTTTCTCAAGTCCAGTTCGTCTGAGCTCAGGCTTCATCTCTCTTCTCAAATAAGGGCAACTCATAGATGCAAGGTATGGTTCCAGCTAGCGACTTTCTTCATCTCATATTTTTGAACTTTTGAGAAGTGTGTCTCAAGCTTTGTTTTGTTGAATGGTTCAGATGTCTAGCTCCCGTGAAGGTGAAGGACAAACAATTACTCCAAACAGCCAAACACTAACTCCATCTTTAACATCTAATACTGAAGTGAGTTCAAGAAAAAGGAAGGCCATACAGCCAAGGTCTGAAGTTTGGGAGCATTTTCACAAATATGTTAATGAGCATGGAGAAACCAAAGGTAAGTGCAATTATTGTGAAAGGGAGTTTTTCTGTGATCCAAAAAGGAATGGGACTACTGCACTTAAAAATCAAATGGGTGTGTGTAAGAAACAGCCTCCTCCTGAAGAAGGCATACAAACCCATTTAAATTTTGGTATAGATGATAATGCTTCTATTCTTGCTAACTGAAAATTTGATCAAGAAGCAATTAGGAAATCTTTGGCAAACATGGTTATAACTGATGAACTTCCTTTCAAATTTATTGATGGGTTTGGGTTTAAACGCTTTATGGCTGCTGCTCAACCAAGATTTAAGGTTCCTTCTAGATGGACAGTGGCTCGTGATTGTTTTAAAATTTACATGGATGAAAAAAATTAGATTCAAAGACTACTTGATTAGAAACAAACAAAGGGTTTATCTAACAACTGACACTTGGACTTCTATTCAAAGAATCAATTACATGTGTATTACTGCTCATTTTATTGATGCTGACTGGAATTTGACTAAGAGGATTTTGAATTTTGTTCCAATATCTAGTCACAAGGGGAGGGATATTGGAATAGAAATTGAGAAGTGTTTGCTTGAATGGGGAATTGATAGAGTGTTTACTATTACGGTAGACAATGTTGCTTCTAATGATGTTGCTTTATTGTACTTGAAAGAAAAAATTTCTAATTGGGGCTTTTCTATCATGAAGTGTTAGTTTCTACACATGAGATGTGTTGCTCACATTGTAAATTTGATTGTTGTTGATGGGTTGAGATTAATAAGGAGTTCTGTGAAGAGAGTTAGGGAGGCTGTTCAATTTGTTAGGCAATCTTCCCTTAGGATGAAAAAGTTTAAAGAGAGTTGTGAGGATGAGAAGATTCAAAGTAAGAGCCTTTTAACTCTAGATGTCTCTACTAGGTGGAACTCCACTTATTTAATGTTGGAGAGTGCTCAAAAATTTGAGGCAGCTTTTAAGAGGTTTGAGGATAAAGACCCTTACTTTTATATTGATCTTGAACAAGGGGAGGGGGTGCCTGATGCTGCTGATTGGAGGAATGTTAGAAGGATGGTGATGTTTTTGAGTCATTTTTATGAGATGACCTTGCGTGTGTCTGGTGCTTTTTATGTTACATCCAATAACTTGTTTTATGAGATTTACATGATATATCGCCTTTTGGATGAATGGACAAAGTGTGATGATTTTAAGCTATCATCAATGGCTTTTAAAATGAAAGAAAAATATGACAAGTATTGGGGAGATCCTTTAAAGATGAACCAACTCATTTATATTGCTGCTGTTCTAGATCCTCGATATAAGTTGGAATGGGTTCAATTTGCTCTTTGTAAAATGTTTAATGATGAAGGTGAAAATTTGGCAAAGCAAGTAAAGGATGTTTTCATTGCTTTATATCATGAATACAAAGAACATGTCTCCCCCTCTAAGCAATCTAAAAAGGAGCAGCTTGTGGATGAAATCCAATCTGATTTTGGTGATAAGAATGACCCTGCTATGAAGGTTAGAAAGTTGCTTAAATCAAAAAAGAGAAAATTTTTAAGTGACTGCTTTGGTGGAAAAAGTAATAGGACTGAAGTTGATAAATATTTGAATGAGGAAATTGAAATAGATAGACCTAACTTTGATATCTTAGGCTGGTGAAAATTGAATGGTCCTAGATTTCCCATTCTTTCAAGGTTGGCAAGTGATATTTTGACAATACTAATATCCACAATTGCTTCAGAATCTACGTTCAGCACTGGAGGACGTGTTTTGGATGCATTTAGGAGTTCTTTAACTCCTAAAGTTGTGCAAGCCCTTATCTGTGCTAAAAATTGGCTTCGTCACTCCATTCCTGTGGTTGTGGAAGAGAAATTAGATGATATTCAAAGGATTGAAAGAGGTAAAAATTTTATAATGTTATGTATGTGCAATGTTACCTTTAAAATTCATTTGTTTACGATTTAATTTAACTCCTAAATTGATTTATTTGTAGATTTTCAAAGAATTGGATTAGAATCAACAGTGGATATAGTTTAAACTCTTTAAGGTAACTCTTCATTATTGCTGTCCATGGAAATTAGTTCATGTAGTTGTGATATTTGTTTTATTGTTGCTTTTTGTAGTTTTCTAACTTCTGGTGCCTGATGGACTGTTGGTTCTGTTGCTGTATTATTCTAGTCTTTTTGGTGGTTAGTTTTGCAATAAGCTTGTTCGTTTTTTTAGTTTTGTAATATTTTGGCCAGATGTTTAACTATTTTCTTTTATAATGTAGGCTGGAGCAAAGATTTTGTGTCATTGACAGCTAACAACTTGTGATGATCTAATGGATTAGTTATTTTAGATTATATTAAAACTCTTGAACTTATTTGTAATTTTTTAAGGGATTATTGTTATTATTTGGTGGATTATTTTGGATTGTTAAGAATTTATATTAGGTAAATTATCAATTTATAAATTATGTGTTTTTTGCTCTGCTTCTTCAACTTATAGGTGTAAATCTGAATGATTGAATTTGATTATTTTATTTTTTAACATTTCCAGATTTTACAGCCTTATAAGGTCTATTTAAAAATCCCTTAATTCCCCCTTTTAGATTTTAATGTTTTAAATTGTTTGTTGATCAGCATTTTTTTTAAATAAGCCCAAAATGCTGCCAAAAAGGCCCAAAATGCTTCCAAAAAGAGGCCCAAAATGCTGCAAAATCAGGCCCAAAGTGTTATAAATAAGGCCCAGTAACCGAAATACAAAAAACCGAATCGAACCACTAAATTTCAGTTCGGTTCCACTTCGGTTTTTATAAACTTACGGTTCGGTTCGGTTGAATAAATTGATGAATTTTGGTTTTTTCGATTCACTTAAATCAGAACCGAATCGAACCATTGGAACCGATGCTCACTCCTATCGCCTGTGGCATTGGGGGGAGAGGGACTCTTTTTCCTTCACTTCTCCCATCTCTGTCCTTTATATTATTTTATTATATAATTTTTTTAAAAAATAAAATTAATGAAGGATGGAGGCGGGGGTGCAAAGAAAAGGAGAGAGAGAGAGAGAAAAGAGAGAGAAAGAGTTCCTCCTCCCGGCATTGGGACCTTGTCTGTGACCTTTTCGGCTCTCACTCTCGTTTTGCGGAGCGTGTGTGCCACCTGCCTCAATGAGGGGCTATTATCCTCCCCGTTCCTGGTTCCCTAGAAATAGCCCATGAGGTTCTCCAGCCTTCTCCAGCCTTCTGCCATGCTCCTTTTTTTTTCTCAAATTTCTCGGCACAATTAATTTTTTTGCCTCACACAATAATTTTAATTATCTTAAAATCTTATATAATATACAAATTATTACTAAATTTCAAATTTTATCCATTAAAATTTAATATTAAATTCATGCTCAAGTCATCATCTTCGTTTATTGAGTTGTAATTGTATAAAATTTAAAAATTATTAATATTTTATGCATTATATAAAATCTCTTGAAAATTAAAATCTTCACAAGCAACCTGGGAGCGATTTCTTCTTCCCCCCAAAATCCTATTTAATTATTATTAAAATTAAACCAAAAAATTATATAGGACGCGACACCTGACACTACTAATATGATTGATTAATGATATAAAATAGCGATATCGAAATATTGAACAGAATTAATTTAATTTATGTGAAAGCGCCAATAATATTGGAATATGAATTATAAAATTCAGAGGCGACATCATCCTTTAACCAGATTGGCACAACCGCAAACTTCCAGCTGGCGCTGACGATTGATTACCCTCTAGCTCAGAGCAGCGCTTCTCTGCTCTGCTAACTCCTTTTTCTGGAAACTACTCAAACAGAATTTGAATCCTCATGCTTTTCTTCTGGTTCCATAGCTCAGTCTTAGACTCTCAGTGTCGTATAGTTTTGCAAAATCTGATTGTAACTCCTTCCCAGTGTTGACCCATTTCCGATTCTGTGAAATTATTCATGGCTTCCCACCCCTCATTGTATTTCTCTTTTTCAATTCTATGAATCTCCCTGGTTTCACTCGCCATTTCGGGTGTAAATATTTGCGCTGACTTAGATAGAGTGTTCTTGTTTCGTGCCCGACGATGACGATCGTTATGCAGTCCGCGCCAGGAAGCTCAGGGTATTTAGATTTACACCCTGAGAGGAAAGTGTCTCTTTTCAAGAACCCTTATATTCTGGGACTCACTGCCGCTGCCGGCATCGGGGGACTGCTCTTCGGTTACGACACAGGTAAACAAAGATTGGTTGACAACTGCTTTGTCGATGAGTGGAAATAGAATAGCGATTGATTAAGCTTTACAACTTGACCATATTTGGTTCAACTTAAATTCTTATTATCAGTGTATTTGGTAAATTTTAATTTATTCTTGCCTCCTTTCTATCATTTTTATAATCATAGCTTTGTCCTTAGCAGCGTTTCGGTAGATCAACCTAGTCTTGTACTGGTAATTTTTATGGTATGCAACGGACAAAACTGAGAGTTTGGAATTATATCCGAAGAAAAGTAAGCAACTAACCTCCGTATTGCATAGCATCAAGGGTTTATCTATCTATTTGTTTTATATCAAATCCAGAGCTATGGAATGACATGATTTGTTGATAGTTAACATATGCTCCGCGAGCGCGCCCGAGCGCACACGCATTCTTTTCGCTTTTCTATGTAGCGGAACATTCAGAAGGGAGGGTTGTACTGAAAGAAATTTCTTTCTTTATAACCCAGGTTTCATGTAAGTTTTCTTGAAAGGTACTCAAGGCAACGGGAAGAATAAATTTCTCCACAATTTCTTATTATTATTCTTTCATGAGAAGAACCATTTTTATTGAAAGTGTTGCTCATTCTGGATAACTTGGTTATTCTCTGATTTAAAATATATATATATATATATATATCATGTGGGAATGCTGTTTATTATAGGTGTTATATCAGGAGCCCTTTTGTATATCAAAGATGAATTTCAGGAAGTCAGAGACAGTAATTTTCTACAGGTACAATATTTTCTGTTCTCTTTCAATGTTGCTGAGTTAGGAAGTAGACTTGATCGTTCATCAATCCAACTGCTTTATTTATATAATGTATTACTAGGAAAAAAGTGAGACGGTACATCTAGGGGAGAATAAGAATTCTTATTACGAAAAAAATGAAAAGAAAACAGCAAACAAAATTTCTCGGGCACAAGAAGTTGTCATTCTTTTCAATTCAGTGCTCGAAATTTCCTGGAAACTTGTTTAAGCAGATCGCTTAAGAGAAGCCATACACACAATTGTATCTAATAACTAAAGATGAGGACAAGGAGACATTGTTGATGATATTTTCATTTTTCTCCAACCAAATACATAAGAACATAAACCACGTATTATCAAAATTAATATTAGTATATATAGCCCATTGGAAGCCATATTGTTCATAGAGTTGTGCACAATTTAGCTTCCAACCTCAAGCTGCACGCATAGGGCCCAAAATATAGTTGTAATGAAACCATAGCAATATGGCATTATTATTCTTGCAGAGATCTTTTAAACATTTCATGACAAGCTGCTCAGATGCGAAAGGGCATGCCAAAATTCTAAGATTTGTCAAGAAAATTTTTTAATGTGCCTTCTCATTGGATCAAAATGTTTACCTGTGTTGCCAGGAAACAATTGTCAGCATGGCAGTGATTGGTGCTATCATTGGAGCAGCAGCAGGCGGTTGGATCAATGATGCTTATGGAAGAAAGAAGGCCACACTTATTGCCGATGTTATTTTTACTATTGGATCGGTTGTCATGGCTGCTGCACCAGATCCTTATGTTCTCATATTGGGTCGCCTTTTGGTTGGTCTGGGTGTAGGCATAGCTTCTGTCACTGCACCTGTGTATATTGCAGAAGCATCTCCATCAGAAATAAGAGGAGGGCTAGTAAGCACAAATACACTCATGATAACTGTGGGACAGTTTCTTTCCTACCTCATAAATCTTGCTTTTACGCAGGTCAGTTTTCAATTTTCATGCTGCACCTTTTGGATTTGCTTTCTGTAACTTGCAACAATGTTAAGATTATTCAAGCTTAGCATACAGTTGATGGTTATAACTAGTAGAAATTTTAAAATTTTGCATGATGCCAAGCTCATTGTCAGCGCACTATATGAAGATCAAGAATCGTTTCAGTTTCTTTGCTCTTCATTTCTCTTGAGAATACTATTTTTAATAAATGCAATATAAAAGCTTTGCCTAAAGAATGACAGTTCAAAGAATCCAAAATTATTTGCCTAAGCAAAAGCTGATGATTTGTAATTATGCTGTCAAATGTCAAGCTGCTTGAGCTGGAAAGTCAAAGTACTTGGTTTCTAGGTGTCAGTACTCAGTTCAGTTATGAAGTGATTAAGTATTGACATGCCCATGTTGATTTAGTATGCTTACTACTGGCCATTAATTGAATACTCTGCTGACATTTCTTGCGCTTTTCAGTTTTTCTAAAGTTTTAGGATTTAGTGTTCAAAACCTCAGAAACAAATTACATGAGAAGAGATGGAAAGATCTGATCTTGTGTCTATGCATATCTGTTTCCTACTCTTTGGTAATATTTCATTGAAAACTTATCCCATTCTTAATCTGTCAGGTCCCAGGGACTTGGCGATGGATGCTGGGAGTTTCAGGTGTGCCGGCAGTTATTCAATTTGTCTTCATGCTTTTCCTACCTGAATCCCCTAGATGGCTCTTCATGAAGGTACAGACATGCATTATTGTGCAAAAAATTATGTTCAAGAGGTTGCCTCCAAACGACATCAATCATAAAGCCATCTTATAATTTTGCCTCAATGTGCAGGACAGGAAAAATGAAGCTATTAATGTGCTGTCTAAGATCTATGACTTTGCTCGGTTAGAGGATGAAGTTGAATTTCTTAGAGTTCAGTCAGAGCAAGACCATAACAAAATGAGGGAGATCAGATATTGGGATGTTTTTAAATTTAAAGAAATAAGACTTGCATTCCTTGCTGGAGCAGGGCTGCAGGTAATGAATTTTGAGCAACTTGATAAGTATACGATGTTACAGAAAAATATACTGTTCCAAATTTAGGATGACTATTCTTAAATGCTCCATGCTATTGAAACTTGAGGGTTGACAGACTTGTAGTTTACTAGACATGCTGTGGGGTGTGTTTGGAAATAAGAATTTGAATGCCACACACAAGACAGAGACACGACCTGGGTTCATTCAAAATGATCGGCATTGGGGTAAAAACAGAAGCATAAACTGCTTAGTGAGTGTGGACTTTGAAGTTACTGAGTTCTTTGAACACACTTTGCTTATGAGTGTTTTTAGAAGAGATCGTGGTTGTGTACTTAAAACATCCTGAATACTTGTTTGGCATTGTTTTGTATGATGATCAAATGTACCTTATTTCATGATGCGTTGTTTGTTGTTAAATGCAACTATCTCTGATTAAGCCATTTTAGGTTCAAATACCTCCGTTCTGGAAGCATAATGGAATTTGGCTCTGCACTTGAATGTCTATGATATCATTCCATGAAATTAGAAGTATTCCGATAACATCCCATTGTTGTGCAGGCTTTTCAGCAGTTTACAGGTATAAATACAGTTATGTACTACAGCCCAACGATTGTCCAAATGGCTGGCTTCCACTCTAATGAGCTGGCTCTTCTCCTATCCCTCGTAGTAGCTGGCATGAATGCTGCTGGCACGGTTCTTGGCATCTACCTTATTGACCATGCAGGCAGGAGAAAATTGGCTCTTTATAGCTTAGCTGGAGTAATCACAGCTCTGATCCTCCTAACTATGTCATTTTTAAACCAAACATCTGACTCTACAAATGGATTATATGGGTGGCTTGCGATTTTGGGTTTAGCCCTATATATTGCCTTCTTTTCGCCCGGGATGGGGCCTGTACCATGGACCGTAAACTCAGAAATATATCCTGAAGAGTATCGTGGAATATGTGGGGGAATGGCGGCTACTGTAAATTGGGTTTCAAACTTGATTGTGGCTCAGTCGTTTCTTTCAATTGCTGCGGCTTTAGGGACTGGTTCAACCTTCTTGATTATTGCTGGTATAGCTGTGCTCGCTTTTCTCTTTGTGGCCTTGTACGTGCCAGAAACCAAAGGATTAACATTTGATGAGGTGGAGCAGATATGGAGGGAAAGAGCTTGGGGCAAGGACCCAACCACGCACAGCCTTCTTCAACATGGAAATCAACCCTAGCAGGGTAACATTTCTCATGTTCATTCTCTACGTACATGTTATGGCATGGTGAGGGGATATGTATGTATGTATGTATGTATTCATGCGTCAATAGCTCTGGGACAAGAAGAGAAATGTTGCCGAATGAGGGAAGGGAAGGGGAGATTTGTGTGAGGAAATAGTGTATAGATGAGAGCATGCAAAAATGATTGCCAAGTGGAAGTGGGGTTATTGGCATATTCATTTTAAGAGAAGGTAATTGCGACGACACTGGTTTGTATTTGTACTGATAAATGTAATCATCCATATTCTTTCAAACAATAAATTTTCAGGTGGCCGGATAAGTGAACAGAAAGAAATAAATCTGTAAATGGGATTGATGGTGTTACGTGGTCCCATCATCAACTTATGGACTGCCAGTCTGCTACTCGGTTAGTCGGTTAGAAAACGGGTTAAATGGTAATTGTACTCTCAATAATTTTGCTGCCAATAACAATTGAGGCGTGGGGACCAAATCGCAGAACGAGATTGGATACCAACGAGGACGAACCCCGTAGGGTGCCAACACATAAAACACGTGTCTCCAAGTGTGCCCTTTTCGTTTTTTTTTTTTTTTTGGGTTGAATAATCCAAGTATGCCTCTCTCTCTCTCTTTTTTTTAAGGAAAAAAAAAAGTCTTGCCCTTCCTGGAGCTAATAAAAAAATATTCTAGTGAGATTTTGCAAATTTTACTTGTAAAATAATACCATTTTTTTCACTATAATCTAAATTGTTTAGTAGTATATTTTTGAAGTTTATGTGAAAACCACAAAGTGATAATTTTTTAGTAGTAGTAACAATAGTTTCAAGCTCAATAACAATAAATTAGACATAAAAAAATAAATTCAAGGATTGATTATCATCAATATATCTATAAAACTTTTGGAATGTTAAATTTAGGTTTAATGACAATATGTGATTCGTTTTAGTGAATTATAAACCACCGATGATAATATGTTCTGTTTCAGTTTATGCAATTGTGCATTGTCAAACTCTGACTTTTTAATTTTAAAGAAAATTAATCTTTTAGTCCTTCAACTTTTAAGTCTCTTGTAACTTAATCCGTTAACTATAACTCGTTGTGACTCAGTCCCTTAACTATAATTCATCTATAACTCAGTCCCTCAACTTTTGAATCACTTATAAATTAGTCCCTTAACTTTTGTTAATTTTTTTTCATGTTAGCTTATACTCCCTCCGGTCCTATTTATAAGTCATATCTACCAACCTCACCAATACCAATGCAACAACAGTATAAAGAATATTTATAAATGAAATTCCAAAATTACCCTTCAAATAAAAAACTACAAAAATCCAAACAATATAATATTATTTTCTAAATAATTCTCTCTCATAGTACTGTACAAAAAAGTCTGTCAGTCAAATAAAGTCAGTAAAACAAAGGCTGTCATCTGTACTTGGCGGGAAGGCCAAAATGAAATTGGTGGGAGGGGAATTTTTGGCCAGTTACATTCTTATAAAAATGACAGAAAAAGCAAATTGAACAAAAGAACAAAAACGCATGACACCACAATCTTCTTCAGCTTTCCACCACTGCCTTCCACCATGAAAAATTACTGCACACCTTTTGATTTAAATGCTCCAGCTGAGGAAGATGGTGGGGACAGCAACAACAGTTTCTTAGACTTAAATGCTCCTCCCATGTGTGAGAATGTCTACCTAGACAACAATCAAAGTGAAAATCCACATGCAATCAATGAAGAAAGAAGTGGTAAGAATATCTATGTTTATGAAATTTAGAGTATTCTCATGTAAAATTTAACTTTCTAGTATCTATATTCAGTTGTTGAGAAGAATAAAGCTATCCAAATATAATTTACTTAAGAGTAATAATCACTTTTCATACTTTTTAAATATTTCAAGGCCCTTTAATACCTCAGCCAGCCTATCACAGATATTCACATGCTTATTAAGAAAGTAAATGTCCATATCAGAAATATTAAAAGCTTTTTAAACATCCCAAGGCCCCTTAATACCTCAGCTAACGTGCTTATTGACAGCTTTTCACATGCATTGTAACATACTAAAAACTTTAAATTACAGATCAATCAAGATATCTTCATAGTTTATGCAAGGAAACTAATATATACATCAAGTTATAGTACTATAAATGTTCGTTCAAATATTTAAAAGAGACCCAGCGTAAAAGTGCTAAAATGTTATAAGGAAAAATAAAATTCATAAATTTTGAATATGGGCAGACAAACAGGAAACTTGCAGAAGGAAAATTTGAATATTTAAAACATTTAGTTATAACAAATTAGCCAGACAAAATGCAACAGATGTTAAAAATTAATATTAATATGAACAGTATACTTATAATAAAAACAAAAGTATATTATCAAAAAGAAGAAGAAGTAAACATTTTCTATATGAAAGTTTCCTCAACGCAAACTATGGACCGTGTTTTTTCTTTAGAGGAAATTCTAATAAAGTTACCTGATTGCCTTGGGAGGAAGCACTAATAGAGTCCAATCCAGCTGCTACTTTCTCAACAACTGCCTTGTCCGATGATTTTTTCTTGAGGGAGTTGTAATTTAAAGAAGCTAGAGAGCTTGTCTTGAGGGAGTTGTAATTTAAAGCACTTAATACCACATCTGTAATTTAAAGTACTTTCATTAAATCCTAGGTGACAAGTAATTCAGAACAGAAAACCTTTTTCATAACAAAGAGAAATATCTAGGCTTTAATTTTTGATAATAGAAGTTACAGCTGCCATACCTTAAACTGGCAGCAAAGTAGCAGAGTCATTGACTTGATTTTCTTGTTTTGCTTTTTTGAGACTCTTAACATTAAGCTCTAGATGGATTTTCTTCTTTAACATCTTCATCACCTACAACATTACAAATTGTTTGATCAGTTGAATACATGCGAATCCCATATAATTGAATGAAACTCTCTTACTATGTTCCTTGAAAATAAAGGTTATTTTCATTGAACAAGTGTAAGAGCTAGAAGATTAACTTATTCACTGTATATTAAGTCATGCACATAGAATTTTATATTTTATATAGAAAGTAGGGTGCACATAAACTTGTATAAACTTTTAATATCTAGTATCAATACACTCTTGAAACAGAGACAGGTATAGGAGGCAATATAATTGAATCATCAAGGCAGCCACCATGTAAAAGAAGGTTCTTGTCAAATGAAGAACGTGTAGCCATTTGTAAGATTTTGTTACACTCAAGTTGTGGAGGTAAATTGAGCAGCAGTACAACAAGAGAAATAGCTTCAGCATACTCAGTTTCAATGAGAGTGATTCGACGCATTTGGAATCAAGTTAAGGAAACAGGTGATGCAACTCATAGAAAGACAAATAGGTGTGGAAGAAAGGGACATAATGTGAACATGGAACAAGTCATGGCAATTCCTTTACAGCAAAGAACTACTTATAGGTCTCTTGCAAGTGCATTAGGGGTTAATAAGACATCATTGATCAGACTAAAGAAAAAAGGAGTTCTATGGCGCCATACTAGTGCAATCAAACCACATTTGAAGGAGTAAAACATGCTTGCTAGATTAAGGTGGTGTTTGTCCATGCTAGAACAAGAAAGCATACCAAATGATTTAACTTTTCATGGCTTCCCACCCCTCATTGTATTTCTCTTTTTCAATTCTATGAATCTCCCTGGTTTCACTCGCCATTTCGGGTGTAAATATTTGCGCTGACTTAGATAGAGTGTTCTTGTTTCGTGCCCGACGATGACGATCGTTATGCAGTCCGCGCCAGGAAGCTCAGGGTATTTAGATTTACACCCTGAGAGGAAAGTGTCTCTTTTCAAGAACCCTTATATTCTGGGACTCACTGCCGCTGCCGGCATCGGGGGACTGCTCTTCGGTTACGACACAGGTAAACAAAGATTGGTTGACAACTGCTTTGTCGATGAGTGGAAATAGAATAGCGATTGATTAAGCTTTACAACTTGACCATATTTGGTTCAACTTAAATTCTTATTATCAGTGTATTTGGTAAATTTTAATTTATTCTTGCCTCCTTTCTATCATTTTTATAATCATAGCTTTGTCCTTAGCAGCGTTTCGGTAGATCAACCTAGTCTTGTACTGGTAATTTTTATGGTATGCAACGGACAAAACTGAGAGTTTGGAATTATATCCGAAGAAAAGTAAGCAACTAACCTCCGTATTGCATAGCATCAAGGGTTTATCTATCTATTTGTTTATATCAAATCCAGAGCTATGGAATGACATGATTTGTTGATAGTTAACATATGCTCCGCGAGCGCGCCCGAGCGCACACGCATTCTTTTCGCTTTTCTATGTAGCGGAACATTCAGAAGGGAGGGTTGTACTGAAAGAAATTTCTTTCTTTATAACCCAGGTTTCATGTAAGTTTTCTTGAAAGGTACTCAAGGCAACGGGAAGAATAAATTTCTCCACAATTTCTTATTATTATTCTTTCATGAGAAGAACCATTTTTATTGAAAGTGTTGCTCATTCTGGATAACTTGGTTATTCTCTGATTTAAAATATATATATATATATATATATCATGTGGGAATGCTGTTTATTATAGGTGTTATATCAGGAGCCCTTTTGTATATCAAAGATGAATTTCAGGAAGTCAGAGACAGTAATTTTCTACAGGTACAATATTTTCTGTTCTCTTTCAATGTTGCTGAGTTAGGAAGTAGACTTGATCGTTCATCAATCCAACTGCTTTATTTATATAATGTATTACTAGGAAAAAAGTGAGACGGTACATCTAGGGGAGAATAAGAATTCTTATTACGAAAAAAAATGAAAAGAAAACAGCAAACAAAATTTCTCGGGCACAAGAAGTTGTCATTCTTTTCAATTCAGTGCTCGAAATTTCCTGGAAACTTGTTTAAGCAGATCGCTTAAGAGAAGCCATACACACAATTGTATCTAATAACTAAAGATGAGGACAAGGAGACATTGTTGATGATATTTTCATTTTTCTCCAACCAAATACATAAGAACATAAACCACGTATTATCAAAATTAATATTAGTATATATAGCCCATTGGAAGCCATATTGTTCATAGAGTTGTGCACAATTTAGCTTCCAACCTCAAGCTGCACGCATAGGGCCCAAAATATAGTTGTAATGAAACCATAGCAATATGGCATTATTATTCTTGCAGAGATCTTTTAAACATTTCATGACAAGCTGCTCAGATGCGAAAGGGCATGCCAAAATTCTAAGATTTGTCAAGAAAATTTTTTAATGTGCCTTCTCATTGGATCAAAATGTTTACCTGTGTTGCCAGGAAACAATTGTCAGCATGGCAGTGATTGGTGCTATCATTGGAGCAGCAGCAGGCGGTTGGATCAATGATGCTTATGGAAGAAAGAAGGCCACACTTATTGCCGATGTTATTTTTACTATTGGATCGGTTGTCATGGCTGCTGCACCAGATCCTTATGTTCTCATATTGGGTCGCCTTTTGGTTGGTCTGGGTGTAGGCATAGCTTCTGTCACTGCACCTGTGTATATTGCAGAAGCATCTCCATCAGAAATAAGAGGAGGGCTAGTAAGCACAAATACACTCATGATAACTGTGGGACAGTTTCTTTCCTACCTCATAAATCTTGCTTTTACGCAGGTCAGTTTTCAATTTTCATGCTGCACCTTTTGGATTTGCTTTCTGTAACTTGCAACAATGTTAAGATTATTCAAGCTTAGCATACAGTTGATGGTTATAACTAGTAGAAATTTTAAAATTTTGCATGATGCCAAGCTCATTGTCAGCGCACTATATGAAGATCAAGAATCGTTTCAGTTTCTTTGCTCTTCATTTCTCTTGAGAATACTATTTTTAATAAATGCAATATAAAAGCTTTGCCTAAAGAATGACAGTTCAAAGAATCCAAAATTATTTGCCTAAGCAAAAGCTGATGATTTGTAATTATGCTGTCAAATGTCAAGCTGCTTGAGCTGGAAAGTCAAAGTACTTGGTTTCTAGGTGTCAGTACTCAGTTCAGTTATGAAGTGATTAAGTATTGACATGCCCATGTTGATTTAGTATGCTTACTACTGGCCATTAATTGAATACTCTGCTGACATTTCTTGCGCTTTTCAGTTTTTCTAAAGTTTTAGGATTTAGTGTTCAAAACCTCAGAAACAAATTACATGAGAAGAGATGGAAAGATCTGATCTTGTGTCTATGCATATCTGTTTCCTACTCTTTGGTAATATTTCATTGAAAACTTATCCCATTCTTAATCTGTCAGGTCCCAGGGACTTGGCGATGGATGCTGGGAGTTTCAGGTGTGCCGGCAGTTATTCAATTTGTCTTCATGCTTTTCCTACCTGAATCCCCTAGATGGCTCTTCATGAAGGTACAGACATGCATTATTGTGCAAAAAATTATGTTCAAGAGGTTGCCTCCAAACGACATCAATCATAAAGCCATCTTATAATTTTGCCTCAATGTGCAGGACAGGAAAAATGAAGCTATTAATGTGCTGTCTAAGATCTATGACTTTGCTCGGTTAGAGGATGAAGTTGAATTTCTTAGAGTTCAGTCAGAGCAAGACCATAACAAAATGAGGGAGATCAGATATTGGGATGTTTTTAAATTTAAAGAAATAAGACTTGCATTCCTTGCTGGAGCAGGGCTGCAGGTAATGAATTTTGAGCAACTTGATAAGTATACGATGTTACAGAAAAATATACTGTTCCAAATTTAGGATGACTATTCTTAAATGCTCCATGCTATTGAAACTTGAGGGTTGACAGACTTGTAGTTTACTAGACATGCTGTGGGGTGTGTTTGGAAATAAGAATTTGAATGCCACACACAAGACAGAGACACGACCTGGGTTCATTCAAAATGATCGGCATTGGGGTAAAAACAGAAGCATAAACTGCTTAGTGAGTGTGGACTTTGAAGTTACTGAGTTCTTTGAACACACTTTGCTTATGAGTGTTTTTAGAAGAGATCGTGGTTGTGTACTTAAAACATCCTGAATACTTGTTTGGCATTGTTTTGTATGATGATCAAATGTACCTTATTTCATGATGCGTTGTTTGTTGTTAAATGCAACTATCTCTGATTAAGCCATTTTAGGTTCAAATACCTCCGTTCTGGAAGCATAATGGAATTTGGCTCTGCACTTGAATGTCTATGATATCATTCCATGAAATTAGAAGTATTCCGATAACATCCCATTGTTGTGCAGGCTTTTCAGCAGTTTACAGGTATAAATACAGTTATGTACTACAGCCCAACGATTGTCCAAATGGCTGGCTTCCACTCTAATGAGCTGGCTCTTCTCCTATCCCTCGTAGTAGCTGGCATGAATGCTGCTGGCACGGTTCTTGGCATCTACCTTATTGACCATGCAGGCAGGAGAAAATTGGCTCTTTATAGCTTAGCTGGAGTAATCACAGCTCTGATCCTCCTAACTATGTCATTTTTAAACCAAACATCTGACTCTACAAATGGATTATATGGGTGGCTTGCGATTTTGGGTTTAGCCCTATATATTGCCTTCTTTTCGCCCGGGATGGGGCCTGTACCATGGACCGTAAACTCAGAAATATATCCTGAAGAGTATCGTGGAATATGTGGGGGAATGGCGGCTACTGTAAATTGGGTTTCAAACTTGATTGTGGCTCAGTCGTTTCTTTCAATTGCTGCGGCTTTAGGGACTGGTTCAACCTTCTTGATTATTGCTGGTATAGCTGTGCTCGCTTTTCTCTTTGTGGCCTTGTACGTGCCAGAAACCAAAGGATTAACATTTGATGAGGTGGAGCAGATATGGAGGGAAAGAGCTTGGGGCAAGGACCCAACCACGCACAGCCTTCTTCAACATGGAAATCAACCCTAGCAGGGTAACATTTCTCATGTTCATTCTCTACGTACATGTTATGGCATGGTGAGGGGATATGTATGTATGTATGTATGTATTCATGCGTCAATAGCTCTGGGACAAGAAGAGAAATGTTGCCGAATGAGGGAAGGGAAGGGGAGATTTGTGTGAGGAAATAGTGTATAGATGAGAGCATGCAAAAATGATTGCCAAGTGGAAGTGGGGTTATTGGCATATTCATTTTAAGAGAAGGTAATTGCGACGACACTGGTTTGTATTTGTACTGATAAATGTAATCATCCATATTCTTTCAAACAATAAATTTTCAGGTGGCCGGATAAGTGAACAGAAAGAAATAAATCTGTAAATGGGATTGATGGTGTTACGTGGTCCCATCATCAACTTATGGACTGCCAGTCTGCTACTCGGTTAGTCGGTTAGAAAACGGGTTAAATGGTAATTGTACTCTCAATAATTTTGCTGCCAATAACAATTGAGGCGTGGGGACCAAATCGCAGAACGAGATTGGATACCAACGAGGACGAACCCCGTAGGGTGCCAACACATAAAACACGTGTCTCCAAGTGTGCCCTTTTCGTTTTTTTTTTTTTTTTGGGTTGAATAATCCAAGTATGCCTCTCTCTCTCTCTTTTTTTTAAGGAAAAAAAAAAGTCTTGCCCTTCCTGGAGCTAATAAAAAAATATTCTAGTGAGATTTTGCAAATTTTACTTGTAAAATAATACCATTTTTTTCACTATAATCTAAATTGTTTAGTAGTATATTTTTGAAGTTTATGTGAAAACCACAAAGTGATAATTTTTTAGTAGTAGTAACAATAGTTTCAAGCTCAATAACAATAAATTAGACATAAAAAAATAAATTCAAGGATTGATTATCATCAATATATCTATAAAACTTTTGGAATGTTAAATTTAGGTTTAATGACAATATGTGATTCGTTTTAGTGAATTATAAACCACCGATGATAATATGTTCTGTTTCAGTTTATGCAATTGTGCATTGTCAAACTCTGACTTTTTAATTTTAAAGAAAATTAATCTTTTAGTCCTTCAACTTTTAAGTCTCTTGTAACTTAATCCGTTAACTATAACTCGTTGTGACTCAGTCCCTTAACTATAATTCATCTATAACTCAGTCCCTCAACTTTTGAATCACTTATAAATTAGTCCCTTAACTTTTGTTAATTTTTTTTCATGTTAGCTTATACTCCCTCCGGTCCTATTTATAAGTCATATCTACCAACCTCACCAATACCAATGCAACAACAGTATAAAGAATATTTATAAATGAAATTCCAAAATTACCCTTCAAATAAAAAACTACAAAAATCCAAACAATATAATATTATTTTCTAAATAATTCTCTCTCATAGTACTGTACAAAAAAGTCTGTCAGTCAAATAAAGTCAGTAAAACAAAGGCTGTCATCTGTACTTGGCGGGAAGGCCAAAATGAAATTGGTGGGAGGGGAATTTTTGGCCAGTTACATTCTTATAAAAATGACAGAAAAAGCAAATTGAACAAAAGAACAAAAACGCATGACACCACAATCTTCTTCAGCTTTCCACCACTGCCTTCCACCATGAAAAATTACTGCACACCTTTTGATTTAAATGCTCCAGCTGAGGAAGATGGTGGGGACAGCAACAACAGTTTCTTAGACTTAAATGCTCCTCCCATGTGTGAGAATGTCTACCTAGACAACAATCAAAGTGAAAATCCACATGCAATCAATGAAGAAAGAAGTGGTAAGAATATCTATGTTTATGAAATTTAGAGTATTCTCATGTAAAATTTAACTTTCTAGTATCTATATTCAGTTGTTGAGAAGAATAAAGCTATCCAAATATAATTTACTTAAGAGTAATAATCACTTTTCATACTTTTTAAACATTTCAAGGCCCTTTAATACCTCAGCCAGCCTATCACAGATATTCACATGCTTATTAAGAAAGTAAATGTCCATATCAAAATATTAAAAGCTTTTTAAACATCCCAAGGCCCCTTAATACCTCAGCTAACGTGCTTATTGACAGCTTTTCACATGCATTGTAACATACTAAAAACTTTAAATTACAGATCAATCAAGATATCTTCATAGTTTATGCAAGGAAACTAATATATACATCAAGTTATAGTACTATAAATGTTCGTTCAAATATTTAAAAGAGACCCAGCGTAAAAGTGCTAAAATGTTATAAGGAAAAATAAAATTCATAAATTTTGAATATGGGCAGACAAACAGGAAACTTGCAGAAGGAAAATTTGAATATTTAAAACATTTAGTTATAACAAATTAGCCAGACAAAATGCAACAGATGTTAAAAATTAATATTAATATGAACAGTATACTTATAATAAAAACAAAAGTATATTATCAAAAAGAAGAAGAAGTAAACATTTTCTATATGAAAGTTTCCTCAACGCAAACTATGGACCGTGTTTTTTCTTTAGAGGAAATTCTAATAAAGTTACCTGATTGCCTTGGGAGGAAGCACTAATAGAGTCCAATCCAGCTGCTACTTTCTCAACAACTGCCTTGTCCGATGATTTTTTCTTGAGGGAGTTGTAATTTAAAGAAGCTAGAGAGCTTGTCTTGAGGGAGTTGTAATTTAAAGCACTTAATACCACATCTGTAATTTAAAGTACTTTCATTAAATCCTAGGTGACAAGTAATTCAGAACAGAAAACCTTTTTTCATAACAAAGAGAAATATCTAGGCTTTAATTTTTGATAATAGAAGTTACAGCTGCCATACCTTAAACTGGCAGCAAAGTAGCAGAGTCATTGACTTGATTTTCTTGTTTTGCTTTTTTGAGACTCTTAACATTAAGCTCTAGATGGATTTTCTTCTTTAACATCTTCATCACCTACAACATTACAAATTGTTTGATCAGTTGAATACATGCGAATCCCATATAATTGAATGAAACTCTCTTACTATGTTCCTTGAAAATAAAGGTTATTTTCATTGAACAAGTGTAAGAGCTAGAAGATTAACTTATTCACTGTATATTAAGTCATGCACATAGAATTTTATATTTTATATAGAAAGTAGGGTGCACATAAACTTGTATAGACTTTTAATATCTAGTATCAATACACTCTTGAAACAGAGACAGATATAGGAGGCAATATAATTGAATCATCAAGGCAGCCACCATGTAAAAGAAGGTTCTTGTCAAATGAAGAACGTGTAGCCATTTGTAAGATTTTGTTACACTCAAGTTGTGGAGGTAAATTGAGCAGCAGTACAACAAGAGAAATAGCTTCAGCATACTCAGTTTCAATGAGAGTGATTCGACGCATTTGGAATCAAGTTAAGGAAACAGGTGATGCAACTCATAGAAAGACAAATAGGTGTGGAAGAAAGGGACATAATGTGAACATAGAACAAGTCATGGCAATTCCTTTACAGCAAAGAACTACTTATAGGTCTCTTGCAAGTGCGTTAGGGGTTAATAAGACATCATTGATCAGACTAAAGAAAAAAGGAGTTCTATGGCGCCATACTAGTGCAATCAAACCACATTTGAAGGAGTAAAACATGCTTGCTAGATTAAGGTGGTGTTTGTCCATGCTAGAACAAGAAAGCATACCAAATGATTTAACTTTTCAATCAATGCACAATATAATCCATATTGATGAAAAATGGTTTTACATGACAAAGAAATCCCAGACCTACTACTTGGCAATAGGGGAAGAGCCACCACATCGAACATGCAAAAACAAGAATTATGTTGGTAAGGTTATGTTCCTAGTTGCTGTGGCTAGACCTAGATTTGATGCACAAGGAAATGAAATTTTTTCTGGGAAGATTGGGTTGTTTTCATTTGTTATAAAAGAGGCAGCAAGGAGAAGGAGTGCAAACAGGAGCAGAGGCACAATGGAAACAAAACCAATCACGTCAATTACAAAAGAAGTGATGAAATCTTTCTTAATTGACAAGGTGTTACCAGAAATCAAAGCCAAATGGCCAACAAGCCATGCAAGTGAAACCATTTATGTTCAACAAGATAATGCTCCTTGTCACATTCATGATAGTGATGTGGACTTTCGTATGGCAGCAAGTGATGGTGGGTTTGATATTCACTTGATTTCCCAACCCCCAAATTCCCCTGATTTGAACATTTTAGATCTTGGTTATTTTAGAGCAATTCAAGCACTACAACACCAAGAAGCGCCTAAAACTATAGATGACCTTGTCAAGGCTGTAGAGAAGTCATTTGAAGTTTACACATCCAAGCAATTGAATAGGATCTTCCTCACACTACAAGCTACTATGATTGACATTATGAAGGACAAAGGTTCAAACAAGTATAAGCAAGGTCATTTGAAGAAGGATATGATAGAAAGAAGAGGTGACTTGCCTAATCAACTTAAGTGTAATCCCTACCTAATTGAAGAAGTTTTGGAGCACTTAGCACAAGTGGATAGATGATTGAGATTAAAGGGTGGATGTTTCTATGCATCCTCTATGTTTTGGTGATTAATATTTTGTGTTACAATTTGTTATGTCAATTGCAACACATAATATTAACAGTTAATATTTTGTAATAGATGCTATTGGCAATGAAAAATGATGTCAAACAACCCCTAATCATAAAAGAATAAAACTGATCAAAGTTAAACAATATTAAACAAAGAACCCTTGATCATAAATTTATTTTGTAAAGAAATAGTATTCATTTTGTAAACAAAGAACCCTGATCATAAAAGGAATAATATTTTGTAATCAATTTATTTTTTTTCTAATAGATGTTAAACAAAGAATATAAAGGAAGAAACTGATCTAAGTGATGAAAATCTGAAGCAATTGATGCAAGAGAAATTAATTCACTGCTACTGCTTGCTCAATCAATAAAACAACCCCTGTTTCACCATATTTCACAATAATGCAGCTTATGAAAAAAACAAACTTATTATCAAACAATGGAGACATTTTTACCTTTCCCCCCTTTGGCCCTCCCCATTTTGATTCTGAAATGTAACTCGGACAACATCTTACATAGTCACAATTATATTTTTTGGTGACAAATCTATAATTATATTTAACACAAAGCTACCATACTTAGTTTAGCTGCCAGTAGCCAGGGGCTTAAGTGGTTAACAGAAATCTCATGTTTAATATCAGTAGGATCATAACAGGGTACGAACAAAATATTGTAGATTACCACAATAGGATTAACACAATATAATATCATCATCCATCAGACCGTGAGCATCCCAGACCTACTCCTTAATCAGCATAAGCTTAAATTCTAGATTAACCCAAATTACACAAAAGGTATAGAAATTTAAGACAAATCAGAGCATATAATGTAAAGTATCATACACAAATCGCTTACGGTCTTTCTCTTCCTCAGTCAGATGTGCATAGTCTTCCTCAGGGAATGGAAACTTGTTCAAGTCGAAAGGGTAGACTATGTTCTTCTTTTCACTTGCTTTTGTAAACTCCAGCACTGCATCGCCGTCACTCACGTCTTCACCATCCTCGACTGCCTCTTCGTTCAAATCAAACGAGTGAGCTTTCTTCACACGCACAGCCTCAGCGAAGTTAGAAGATGTGAAGGAAGAACCAATCGGACGAGGAGCCCTCAAAATCTTTCGACTCAGAGAGTTTACCTCTCCACAAAACTCGAGCGGCCGTGAATCTTCTTCCCCAGTAAGAGAATCGTCCACTACGCATGCCATTAGCTGATCCCACGACAGACCCTCAAAACGCTCCTCCATCGGACTTGAACGGCGAGATCCAGAGATATTGGACACCATAAAATGATCGGCGACACTTGTGCGAATAACAGCAGAAAAGGAATTGCAACAGAGGAACAATGAGCTCGGCGGCAACGACGAAAGAGGCGATCGACGAAAACCGAGCGAAGATGGTGAGAGAAAAGGACGAAGATAGGGTGAGAGAAAAGGACGAAGACACGGTGAGACAGGACGCCAGTGAAATGTTAAGGCAGCCGAACGAAGATGAGTAAAGTAGCCAGGGATATTTTTGGAATTTTACTTTAAAATGGGAAGCCTTTACCTGTCAGTGCCTTATAATGGGGACCAGATATCTCTTCAAAAATTGGTCTTATAATACGGACCGGAGGGAGTATCTCACATCAATGAGTAAGAGGAGGGTATTTTAACATAATATATGAGCATTTTTTTATCCCTTTTATTTGATAAGAATTTTTTAAAAAAATTAAAAAATAAAGACTAAGTTATAGGTAAATCAAAAGTTAAGGGATTGAGTCACAGCGAATCACAATTGAGGACTGAGTTACAAGTGAGTTAAAAGTTAAAAGATTAAAAGATTAATTTTTTCTTAATTTTATTATTTTTATATTTTTAATTTATAAAATCATGTCAATTTATTTATAAATTTAGATTAGATATAAATTTAGTTAAACTTATGAGTTACTCTTTAAGTTTATTCATTTTTATGTTTTTATTTTTTTCAAAACCGTGTCAACTCAATTCTAAATTCAGTCTAGATATAAACTTGGTTTAACTTGCTAAACTTATCAATCTTTTACTACGTTGAACTAGTTACGTATATATTATATAAAACTCGATTTATAAAAGCGGTAGAATTTGATTTAAAGAAAAATAAATATAAAAATAAAAAATTAATATTTATAAAAAAGAAAATACCAAAATTTAATTGTCTTATTTTGAAATTTTTATATTGAGCATGATAATCTATCGATGTACATGAATTTAATTTCAATGATTTATATTTAAAGTATATTTATATTAGATTATGATCATATTTTATATTTTAATTATTTAATTTTATATTTTATTAATTATTTATTAATAGAGGTAAACTTTTATGAGTTCACAGTTAAATTTTACATCCCTCTCTAAATTTAAGTTTACTTAAACTTGCAAGTTAACAACTTTGCATCTGAGTTATTGATAATAATCAATCTATCCCTACACTACATAAATGTGTGCGTTGGGATTTATAAAATATTAGGATGGTTAAATACAAAACTACGCATGAGTCCTAAGGAAGAGGTTTATTTACAAATAACATTTTAATTTGTAAAAATATTTTTAAGTCCATTGAGATTTAGTTGTAATTAATTTCTTGAAAAAACATATATTTTGATTCTTATACTTTGCTTATGTTTTGTTATAAGTCTATATACTTTTTTCTAATATTTTGAATCCTTACACTTTCTTTTTCTGGTGCTCTAAGTCCCTAAATGAAGAAAGTATAGGGACTCAAAATATTAAAAAAAAATATAGAGATTTATAACAAAATACAAACAATGTACAAGAATAAAAAAATATGTTTTTTCTAATTTCTTTTATAAAATGACACAAGTATCTTTAACACATCCTCTTAATTGATATTGACCGATTGGCCAAAAAAAATTGGTTTTGACCCGCGTTACAAATGAATATCGGCTGTTAATAGCTGTTCAAAGGAAATAATTTTTTTTATAAATTTTAATATTAATTGTTAATGCCGTTATGGAGCATTTACAAGTCAATTTTTATATTTACATGTTAAATATTTAAAATTTAAAAATCAACTACTTAGGGTCCGTTTGGATTTCAGTTGGGTATAATAGATTATGAAAATAATTGATTAAGTGGTAGATTTTAATCATAATTGATTATGTTATAACGCAATCTGTTTGGATACTTATGTTAGTAATTTTTTTAAAGATTCAAATTTTATTAAGAAAAAAAAAGAAGAGAAAAAATTTTGTTTTAGTTTTATTAAATTTTGTGCTTTTTTTGTGATTTTTTTCTTGGACTTTTTATGTAATTTGCTCATATAACTTTGTAACAAAAAAATGCAAAAGCGGAGAAGCTGAGATTTGAAGCGTTGGGAAAAAATCGATTTTTTGGAAAAAATTGATTTTGGTAAAAAGTGGATGTTTGGGTAAATTATGGCTTAATCGATTTTTTTGCCCTAAAATCGATTAAATCCTCAATCCAAACGGACAGTTAGATTTACAAAAGAATCTAAGTATTATTCGTAATTGTTTATTTGTAAATTTCAATGACCAAACAGCGATCCCAAATCGTCGATCAATATCGGCAAGTAACCAATCAATATCATCAAAGCAGGGTAAGCCAAGAAATATATGTTGTCGATTGATGAAGGAAAGGAATTAAAGCTAAATCTCTATAAAAAAAAAAAAATTGATGGTATGTTTGGGTTAATGAAAATTTAAATTTAAATTAAATCCCTTATTTAGATACATAAAAATTTTTGAAAATCCATTTCTTATTCTTTTTTTTTAATTTCAATCTCTCCATATATTTTAATCATTTTAAATACTTGTTTTCTTCGTACTTTTACCATTACTGCATATATGATTATTACATGTTTTCTCATACTTTATTCTCGTATTTTATCAATTAAAAAATAAAAATAAACTCATAATTTTTTGTCTTTTGTTTTTATTTTAAATTTTAGTCCATCTCTCTTTTTTATTTAAAATTTTTTAAACTATTGATATAAAAAATTTTAAATATATGACTTTTAAATTTAGAATTCAAATCCAAATCAACTAATCCCAATGCTACCTAAAAGTATTTTAACAAAATTTATATGGGAAAATGTCATCTGAGAACCTTGAAAAATTTTATATCAATTGAAAATCTTGAGATTTTGATATTACATCGCGCTTCTACTTATATTAAAATAAGTTTTTACAGAAAAAGGCCGTTTTATCTCTAAAGTTTAAAATAATAACTCACTAACAATTAACAACAATCCATTTAAAAAATAAATAAGTCAGAAAGATTGATATGGCATGTTGAATTAAATAAGCTTTACATAAACATATTCATTTGAACTTTAACAACCACTTCAAAAATAAATAACGTAAAAAATTGATAGGACATATTAAATAGAACAAGTGTTATCTAATTTTAGAATATTTTTTTTATAGGAAAACAAGATTCTACAAGATGACCATAAACACTGTATTTTATTTAAATATTTTTTAAAATTTAATAAAAATAATAATAAATATTTAAAAAATATAAACATAAAATTTACTCCTTTTAGGATTATATTTTAAAAATAATAATTAATAAGGTTTAATTTTATTTTAACTTGGATAATCTTTTATTAGTTAGGACCTTATTTCTTTTAGTTTATTAAAAAAATAATCAAAAAATATAAAAGTATAAAAATAAAATTTAATCCTTTTTAGATTATATTTTTAAAAAAATAAAATATAAAAATAAAATTTAATCCTTCTAGGGATTATGTGTTTTTTAAATAATCTTGTTTAAATCTTTAAAAATTTCTCATAAATTATCTTAATTATTTAAAAATATTGAGAGTCAACTTTTGAGAGTTAAATTTCTCTCCTTAAATCTTATTTTTTATTTAAAAATGTGTGTGTGTTAATCTAAAAATAAATTAGAAAAAAAAAATAATATAAGGCTATCACCACAGTCCAGAAAGAA